TGTCTAGCCCTCTCCTCTGATTTGAGGTTTGAGGTCGGTTTGTGACCCTTGGGATGGAGGCCATCTTCATGTTCTCTCTCTATGGTATACTTTAGTTTGGCTCCATATCTCATTCCAGACTAACAAAGCATGGACTCCAGAATCTTTTTAAGTCTCCACTCCTACTGTGTAGGCCCACAGCTACCTGCCCTGCAATTGACCTTGAATGCCAAGGCAGAAACCTATCTGTTATTTTAAAATAGCCCTTATTTCAGGGTTTGCACCCATTGGGATTGGAGCACTTGTTGCATGGTCCCAGCCCTGAGTTCTAACCCCTTCTGAAGGCAGTTTTTATTCTAAATGTTTAGCAAAGCTTACTTGATCATCATATCCCAGTACATATTGGTTTTGGAACCCCCTTGAGAGATTTTTTTTGTGGCCTTCTTTGGGGTCATAGTGAGGTTATTGACATGGACATGGAATGCAATTTGCTTTCCCTTTTCTGACATAGAGGATTCTCTCTGGCAGTCAGTTTTTTTATTATTTTTTTATTATTTTTATTATTTTTTTTTATTTTTTTATTATTATTTTATTTATTATCTTCTAGTACTTTCTCAAGAGTTGATGTGGAGTGTTTTTAAAATTAGATATTCTTAAAACAGTTGGGAGAGCTTTAGTGTGTGCCTGTTTCTATGTGAGAGAGTGAATGTACTGAGTTGTTGCCAAGGTCATGGTTTGTGTGTGAAGGCAACTCATTCAACATGGAAGCTGGAAGTATTTGAAACTTGCTTTCTCATGGAGGAGGCTGTTATTTGACTTCTCTGTGAACATACAAGACTTCAATTTCAAAAATCATATTAAATGGAAGTGGGCCATATATTGCATGGGATGGCAAACACAAGTATGCCCATTACAGTGATTGTCATGCACTTTTGGATGAGGAGTGAGTGGAAAGTGCTGGACTTATACTCAAATTTATATATATCTATATATCTATATGTCCCCTGTCCCCCCCCCCCCCATACAGCATGGGCAGTCCTTCATGATTTCCATGGGAACAAAGGGTATGTGAGTAGCAGTGAAATGCCACTCAGAAGTGGGTTTTGGATCCTCATTCAATTTCCCCTTCAGTTAAAAGCTTCAAACCAGATCTCATGCAGGAGTGCAGATTCTATTTGTAAAATCTTCCAAACATCCATTGATTCGTGCACCCCTTCCATGTATTCTACATTCTTTGCCACTAAATGATGGGTGGCCCAGCCAACCAATATGGGCTTCATAATAGTGGCAATACAAATGCTGGTACTGCTGCATCCCCCTTGGTCAGCAATATACACACTCATGCACACCCACCATAGCCACAAAAATATCTTGTTTTGGATACATGTATCTCCCTCTCTTTACCACAGTTGAGCTATCCATCTCTCTCTTTAATCAATTGGAACAAAACCACCCTAATCCATTTCCTTCTCATTCATCCCTTTTCGCTGTGGAGAAGATGGCTTTTGTAGTCACCGTTTGCAAGTTGCAACAAACCTCAAAAACCCCAAAAGTCAATGACAACAAACATTTCCTTTCTTTCATTGATTGATTAAACATATATTTCTTTTTTGTTTGCCCTTGTGACTAGGAGAAAAAAAGTTACTGTTGGGTTCTCACAGCAGGCAATTTGATTCTCAACTTGTTGAGCTATGAAAGCCCACTTCTGTGGAAGACAAAAGTGAATGAGGCAACACAGATGCAAAACCCTAATCAACACCTACAGCTGGAAATGCAAACCCCCCATACTTCATTGCCAGTAGAGGACACCATTGGTTCATGATTCTACGGTCAACTTTTTAATGCTTTACAGATGCAAGATTTGTTCTGTTTGTTTTAAAATGTTTAATACTACTTGCATTTTTTTGTTTATTTATTTATTTATTTTTTAAATTTTAAATGCTAGATCTTGTTACATAGGCTAGTTGTATAAAGGATGAACTAAATATTTGTAGAAGATTTTGACATTGTTGAATCAACTTGACAAATTCAGATATGCTTACTGAAAAAACACACCACAAAAATGCTAAAATATAATGTCCAAAGTCTTAAATATAATAATTTGTATATAGAGATTTAAAAATATTAAAATTATCAACTGCATACATAAAAATCAAACTTTTAACAATTTTTGTGTATCCAGAATAAATTTATCCACGTTCAAAAAAATTGTATACATGTATAGGACTAAGATTAAGATTGGAGACATAGATATCAGACTACAAACTGTGCAAAGAATTTTGTGAACATATAATACTCTGTGTAAATTCTAGTGCATTGTTGTGATTTGGTTTTGAACCCCACTAATTTTTGTTGAAAAGTAAACCTCTAAGTTTGGAAAAGTGCAACATCAAAATTATAATTGGTTATACTATGTGTTTGTTTGAGAAATTGAAGTAGCTATGGTGATGTTTAAATGGCTACAAGTGAGGTAGTAATGTTATCAATAAACCATGCCACCTCAAATAAAATATGCTACTGGCGGAATTAAACTCAAATAAATTTTTATTTATAATTCTCAAAATTAATGTAACTATAAATTCATTCTCATGATCTTCTAGTTCCTATTTCAAAAGGATTTGTTGCAAAAGATGTCTTCAAATCAAATTTTTGTAACAAGAGTAGATTTAATGCACATATTTCAAAAAAATGATCTAGTACTAAGAACCACAACACAATATATTGCAACATAAAATAAATAAATAAATAAATATATATATATATATATATATCTATTACATTGTGGAAATAGCAGAAGATCATACATCCATAATAATTTCAATAGTATTTCCTACAAAAAATTACCATTTTTTAAATTTTAGATTCTTTACTCAAATAAATTAAACAAGACTACTAATACTAATAATTTTCTGAAACTTTAATTTCCAATATCTTCTTTGTTGGTCGAGCATCAATCTTAATATCAAAGTAATCTTCACACAAAACAAAATTCAAATCCAAACAAAAATCTGTGAAAAACCATTATAGTATTTATGCATACCAAAAACATATTGAAGGTGACAGCTGTGTATTTATATTCAAATATTCAATGATTCACAAAAACTACTAGATTCCTCTGTTTAAATTCATCTGTTTTGTCCCAAAGGTGTTCCCTGTATCTTAAACATTTCCATGTATGTGTGATCGCGCCGTTAATCAGCCCACCCAATCAACAAGAGAAAAACGAAGAAAGGAATTAATGGAAAAGAGGTAAGTACGGCAGATGGAGAAGATTAAGCAGCACAAGGCCAAGTTTGGCAGACAGTTGGGGGATGCGAGCCATCAAGGGCAAGGGGGACATGTGTAGGGAGGGAGGCATCGCACTCCTCACCTCCCTGTAACCGCACCACCACCTCATGGCAGCGCGGGGAGGGAGGGACGCGGGCTGGACCTCGCATCCGGTTTCGCGTCCAGGTGGGTGGGGTGTGGCCTGCATCGCTCGCACCTTGGCTGCGCTCCTCTCATGAGTCGCATCGCAGTGCATCGCCTCAGCGGGACTCCGCCAGAAGAGGGGAGCAGCAGGGTGGGATTTGGCTGTCACACTGGACCTCACAGGCGCAATTCCACCCGCTGAAGCAAATGAGGCAAGCCACCAGACTGCTCGCAGAACGGGAGGACGCTCAGGGTGCGTGGCATGCGCGGAGGAAGGCTTGGTGCATGGCAGGCTGGGAGCGGGGGCGATGCTGGGCCCCAGCGCTCTGTAGAAAGCCAGGACACTGTTGATTCGGGACAGCGCAGCTTCCTCCCCTTACCGCTCCGCCCCTCCCCCCTCCCCCACCCTCACCCTCCTCCCTCCCTTAAGTTTCTGGGGCCGCTCTCCTTCCCTGCTATCATCATGATTGTCGCCTCGTCTAGGAACATCATTTCTTTCCAATTCCTTCTCCTCTTTCTCTCACATTCCCTCCTGCAATCCACACCCTCTCCCTCTCAACCCCCATTCGCGTCGTGTGCAGTAATTTCATGGCTGTGCCATGGGCTCGACGACGGCACGCCTAAACTGTGTTGGTCACATCCTACTGGTGGTGTCTCACCAGCGTGATCGTTGGTCTCATAATTGTTCTGCTGCTGTTATCTCGTAAAATGCGTGTCTACTTGTAGAATCATGGTATAGTAGAGCTGTGACGGGGTGTTCGACGGGTAATTGAGATGTGAGAGCGTGCCTAGTAGCTGAGCCGGAGAGTCTGATAGATGTGGAGTTGGGGTATTCTTAAAGCCGTCCTAGGTGTGATTTCGTTTGTTGTGTCAGCGTTTGTATCAGGAATACTGCTGTATGGGAAGGGCGAAGTGTGCGTTCGCGAGAGGTCTTCTGGGGTGAGAGTTGGCGTAGTAGTAGTGGAGGATCGTAGCGAGTCGGATCCAAGTTATGACGCAATAGCTCATGAAGTTTATGGGCGGCTGAGCAGGGTTGAACTTTGGAGTGTTTTCGCTTCGTTTATGGTTTTCTCTCACAGTAGAGCACGAAAGGATTCTCGATTACGTTTGTTGTCTGTTTATTGGGCTGAGGAGTTCTATTCTCCTCCAAGAATCTGGCGCGGATTTAGGTCTGTATTTTTGGTGTTCGCGTTTGAAGTTGGAGGTGGCAGGCAATCGCGTCGCGAAGAATCTTGAAGCTGCCCCGATGACCGTGAAGTTCAAGCACTGAGTCAGTTCATGGATGCGAGTGCTTGATAGTAGGTTGTATTGAACCAGTAATGTGAATAGTTGGACACAACATTCTGGTCTTGTGAATGTTGACACAACAACACCAATCCACATTCGAGCAACGTGATGACCAGAGATGGAAGCAGTCAGGAACAGCGTGGTGGAGGATACCATCTGGAGTTCTCGTCGTCAGTTCTTTACACGGATTCAGTGACTAAGTGTTGCGAACAAGTTGTCCGCTACCAGATGACACACATAGAGCATGTAGATGGTGGCGAGGTTAATGCTGGCTGCTTAACAAGAGAAATTAGGATATTTTTTTCGTAAAACTACTAGTAGATACATACAATCCAATACAAGAAATCATTGCAAATGGCGTGTATTGCGAAAGTAGGAGGTAGTAGCAGGATCCGCCCCACTCAGGGTTCGTTTCCGGAATTCAAGAAAGGAGTCGGGGATAGTCATCGCCAAGCACAGGAGGTGGCGGGACGCAAGGCCGGCGTCGTTGACTTCCCTAAGCTTTTCGTGGAAAGACCTGCGGCAGCTGAGACATGCAGAGAGAGATCGCTCTCCTTTGAATCCAAGACAAAGCACCTCAACTTCGCGCAGAGAATCGCGGACAAGGTGATCACTGTCGTGGAGAAGGGTTTGGAGAATCTGCATTGGGGAGAACATGAGCCCCTGCCATCCACAGTAGATCCTCATGTGCAATTGGAAGGCAACTTCTCCCCAGTCGATGAATCCCCGGCGCGGCACAATTTGAAGGTAGAAGGCAATCTCCCAGATTGTTTGGAAGGCGTGTATGTGCGCAACGGACCCAACCCCCAGATTTTTCCAACAGGTCGTCACCATCTGTTTGATGGCGATGGCATGTTGCATGCTGTGAGCTTCAATCAAGGGTTGGTCAGCTACGCCTGCCGGTACACGCGCACATATCGGTTCATGGAGGAGGAGAAGCATGGGCGAGCATTCTTTCCGAAGCCAATTGGAGAGCTGCACGGATATGGCGGTGTGGCGAGGTTGATGGTGTACTGGGCTCGGTCCCTGTTTGGAATATTGGATGCATCGCAAGGGATGGGAATGGCAAATGCAGGGCTAGTGTACTTCAACAAGCGGTTGCTCGCGATTTCCGAGGATGACCTTCCCGTCGAAGTGCGCATCACGGAAGACAATGACATAGTGACGGTGGGACGGTACGATTTCCATGGGCAGCTCACACATTCCATGATCGCGCACCCCAAGATTGATCCACACACAGGAGAGCTCTTTAGCCTTAGTTACAACGTATTGTCGGCGCCGTACTTGAAATACTTGATATTCTCAGCGGATGGCGAAAAGAAGGCCGAGGTACCAGTTACATTAGACGAGGCAGCCATGACGCATGATTTTGCAATCACGGAGAACTTTGTGGTAATCCCCGACCAAGAGATAGTTTTCCGTCTGAAAGAGATGCTGACGGGCGGTTCGCCTGTTGTTCTAGACCCGAAGAAGACCCCTCGGTTTGGCGTGATGCCCAAGTACTCAACCTCGGAGGAGGAGTTACAGTGGATTGACGTGCCTGGCTGTTTTTTCTTTCACTTGTATAACGCGTGGGAGGACGGCGACGAGGTGGTTGTCATTGGCTCGTCCATGACTCCCGCCGACATCATTTTCAAGACTTCGGAGGTTCCGCGCGCTATTTTGACCGAGGTGCGGCTCAACCGCCGCATGGCGACCTCCACGAAACGCGAGCTCGCTGACTTGAACTTAGAAGTGGGGAAAATGAATCCCCAATTCGTTGGCGTAAAGACCCAATTCATATACCTCGCCATTGTTGAACCATGGCCGAAGGTGTCGGGTATTGCCAAGGTGGATTTGCAATCGGGTCAGGTGGTGGCTCGCCATGACTACGGCACGGATCGTTACGGTGGTGAGCCCGTGTTCGTACCACGGACCTCGGATTCTAACGCCGCTGAAGATGATGGATTTTTGCTTGCGTTTTGCCACAATGAAGCCTCTGGAGAATCGGAGCTGCTCGTTCTCGATGCAGCCACCCCCTCGCTGGAGCCAGTGGCGTCAGTCAAGCTGCCCTCCCGAGTCCCCTATGGATTCCATGGAGCGTTCATCCCTGCGGCTGATTTGTTGCACTAAAATTTTTTGTAACTCTTTTTTGTGCGTTCGTTGTATTGCTTGAGGACTGGTTCTGGATTTTCATCCTTTTGTGCATATTTTAGGTTTTTTTCAGTCTTCGCTTGTACATTACCCGATACAAAGCAGGAACCTTACAAGTTTGTGTATCTTCCCTTCCCTGTGTTCCATCCTCATGAGCCTGTGCTCGTCCATTTGAGGTCCCACTCACCTCGTCGCTGGGGCAAGCCTATCTTCCAAGATAGCTTTGTGCTGTTTTTTATGGACGGCGCTTGCATGAGAATGTTTTCTGGGATCCGCAGACCTAGTGAAAATGCAACAACCAAATGTAGCAACTCATTATTCAGCATTTATAAAAATTCAATTTTTTTGCGCTGCCATATCCATGGTCCTTGGGCTCTCCTCCGTTTTGTGACTCATGCATTTCTCGCTTCCCCTTCCATCTCTTCTGTGTTTCATCATGATGTGTTCTTCGCGGATCACTTGCATTATGTACTATTCGTCCTTCCATGCTCGGGGTCCATATTTCTGTAAATGTCGCCATTTCTCCTCACAATATCTTTTATATTCTAAGATTTTCTTGAACCTTTTATCTTCTTGTGCACGCTTTTCACAGAGTATGATATTGTTCTTGCAGCAGTTATTTAACGACCTGCGGCTCCGTTGGGTATGGTTCTATGACGTGCACGCCTATCTTTCTTCACCAGAAAGAAAAGGCAATGTGTTAGGAGGAGCAATTTGATAACCAACTTTCTTAACCCGTGGAATCTTCCTGCTTTTGGTGATCAAATTGACCGCACGGTATCTTGACGACCTTGCAGTTAACTTCTGGTTGTACCTTCGGCTACGTAATAGATAGAGGGTTTCTTTTTGACGATATTGTACCTTCGGGATGTCATCAGTTACTGCACCACGCGTTCAAGTTACAGTAGCGATGACCAGTAGCAGACAATTCACTTCCATAGACCACCTCACCGAACGCTTACTCCTTCGGGCAGCTTAGGGTTATAGGACAATCGGGTAAGCGGCGAACATAAAGCTGGCGTGTCGACTGACAGATTTGAGTTAAAGCGCAGACAGTCAGTTAGGGGCGTTGGCGTGAGCGCAATCGCACACCACAGAGCAGCGGCAACAAATCAGACGTATCCGAGATTTAATTATTCTCCTTTTGTTCTGACATTTATCCCTGGGAGCCGCTTAGTCAGCTTCGTCACGGCCAGTACACTTACAAAATTAACCTGATGCATGGTCACGAGGAAATAATCCGTCGGGATTCTCCCAACGTCCGAGTAGATTCCAGAACGATCACCCCAAAACACGAAGAACGGTTGGAGAGTCTGGGTTGCCAAACCTCCTTCCGCTGCAGGCGTGTCATAATCGAGTATCAGATAGGAACCAAACACTGAACAAATCATGTCAGACAGATTTTTTGTTGCACGAATTATAACTGCGAAATGGAGCCTGTCAGCGATCAAAGGTCCTGCAATCATGCCCGGATTCAAGCTCAGGCCTGCTCTGGGGACGGACAGGACACAGCAGAAATTAAATGGGTCTCTTCCACAGCGGATGTAATTCCGCTGCGCACTGCGCACACGACAGAAGCCACCGCCAGCATCCCTCATGCACGTCGCAAATTGAGGAACAAGTCTCGGGGGTTTGTCAGAAAGTCGTAGAGGATCTTCGTTCGCTCTTTCCCCCCGTGTGTACTCCACCACACCTTGTCTGCCTCTAACGCAATCGCGGCGCGCCACCTCTCCCTTGCAGCTTCACGCCCTCGCAACAGTGACCCTTACAACGCTCACAGCAGCCAGCCAAGTGTTGCAGCTCACTGGCCGCACTCGCGCTAGTCACGGAGCCCCTCCTGCTGCTTGCGGATCCCTTTGTGGGTACCCCCCACATTTGCCCATTTTGCATATTCTTACTCTGGTTATGAAGTAACTATAAAAGTATTTAGTAGATGTTCATCCAAATCACAAATTAGGACAAATCTGGAATTCTTCACATTCATGGCCTATTTTGGTAGCATAATGGTGATAAGGATGATGATGAGCTCGTGTTACGATATATATATATATATATATATATATATATATATTTTATTTAATAAGGGAACAATACACGAGATAGATAGTGTTGGATCAAGGGTGTAAGTGTGCGTGGATGTAGAATTTGAACAAAGAAAGTAAGATTATTACTATCACCATAGTATCTAACTTTTGCTTTTTTGCATAGAATTTTGAATTCAATATATGAAACATTGTTCTTTCTACATATCACCCAATGGATGATAATTGATTAGGTGACATTCATTTATTCATTAGATACATGCTTAGAGGTAGTTGTAGAATAGATATTAATTCGTTTTTGAAAGATATAGGTAAAATATATTAATAGTCTATATAATAGGAAATTCAAGAAGACAGATGAGTGATTTAGTTCTTAAAAGTGTTTAATTACAGAATTATGGTTAGAATCTGGAGAATCAGGGGAAAGTATATAGGAGTTGTAGAAGTTAATTAAGGTGCCAGACTGTGCTAGTCATGAGCCGAGGGCCATCGCTGTGATAGTTGTGAGCCGGGATAATCTTGGTGCTACCTCTTTTCTTTTGTTTGTTATTTTCTTTGAATAAGAGGATTGAGAGTTTCTGAATATTGTGAAATGAATTATGGAATAGAAATGTGATTGGTATTATTTGAGAAGAAGAAAGACTGAATGCTGAAATCTGATTGTAGTTCAACAGAGAGAATGAGTCTCTGTTTGTGTGAAACATCGTAATGTGAATGGCAGTTTTGTGTGAAGAATTCCAGTGATTGGAATGAGAGTAATTGTGTGCTGAAAGCTGTGAGGGCACAATATTACAGTTGGAGATTATGAGGGTGAATATATTGGTGGAAATAGCAGTTATTGGTATGACTAAATTGCTGTAAGGAAGAGACCGATAAGGTGAAGGAGGAGATTATAGTTTCCTTGTGTGTTCAGATATTGGAAATAGAGACGATACATTCAGGAGGTAATTGATTGTGTGACCCTAACGTGAATGCTTAAGCAACTAGTCATTCCCCATGATTGAATCCCCCTATACGGGTTTATTCTAGGAGGTTTCTTCCGGAATAAGTAAAACGAGCAATCACAGTAGTTTTTTTCAAAGCGTTCAAATCATTTATTTTTTTATTTTATTTTATCAATGTTTATTTCTTGAATATTTTTGCACTTTTTTGGCTCTAAATTGTCTATAATCATGCTCTAGCAAGTAGATACTAAAGAATTTTCTTAATCAAATATCACTTGTTATAAAATAAAAGCATGTAGTGAAATTTGGATACGACAATGGTAGCATAATTGGTACAGTAGGCTATTATTTCACTTCCAAATTTCTTAGATTGTTTGACATTTTATAATAAATAAAAATAATTTTTGTTGTTTTTGGAATATAAAACATATAATTACTATACATATTAGATCTTGATTTTTTTCTAAGAATTTATTATTATTGTTTGCATATAAAATAAATGTTATTAAGTTAGAGTCTCTTTTAGCTATAGTTTTATTAAAAATGATATATATATATATATATATATATATATATATATAAAATTTTTATTATAAAGGAAGATAAAAGATACATATTATATATATATATATATATATATATATATATATGAAAGAGATATAAAATATACATATAAAAGATACATATAAAAGAATAAAACTTATTTAATTATATGGATTGTTGTTGAATAGATGCAATTTAAAAAAAGTTTTCTACCATTCTTAATATTGTAATCATGTACATTGAATAAGCCAACAAAAAGAATATGTGGTATCTATCTAAATTATAAAAGAATTTAAAGAAATCAAAGAAGACATTTATTATTTGAAGGCCTTTTTATTTACTAAAGTTTCATCTAATGAAAACAAATATGAAGTTCAATAGAATTGTAGCTTAAAATTTTGTAAAGAAAGGAATTTGTTTTAAAATATAGACCTTTTGTTAGCATGGAAGTTGTTTTTGCAACATCACAATCTTTAGGAGCTACTTACTTCTAATAATAAATAAATCCTTATTATTATTATTATTTTTTATTTAGTCATAATTTGAAATATAAAAGATCATTTAAGTATCAATACAATAATAGTTTATATTCATTTACTAATTTCAAAAGATATTAATTTGTTTTGAAGTTTTGAAATTTAAAGACTTGAAATTATTTGAAAAATTAGTATTTGTAAGAATTTAAGTTTGGTATCTAAGTTATATCTTATTTTTATTTAGATTTTTTTTTTTAAGTTAATTATATTTTAAATACAAAATATGATTTATTTGTTAGATACCAATTTTGTACAGATACAAGGCATTAGCCATAGTGCAAAAGAAGTCAATTAAACATAATTCCTTCTCAAAAGAAAATCTCTAGTTAAGTACTAAAAATAAGTATTTTGAGTTTCATGATGTAGATATTTGGAAATTATTTTTCATTTCATAGAAATCATATTTTTATGCTTTTGGGTACGTTGCAAATACAAACATAAACTTTGTTATCTAATAGATGTTTGTATTCTATTTCTCTTGTACTTTGATAGGATGTATTTCACTCACTCTAAATTTTAATATAGTAAAAAAATTAGACTTATTATCTAAATATTCTTTTATAATTTACTAATATATTTATACAATAAAATTATTAATATATCTATAAAATCAAAGGTTTTTTTAAATGCATTAGTTAATTCTGTTTTAAATTAATTATTTCTTTAATTTTTATAATTTTAAAAAATATTTATTTAATTTCTTGTTAGATAGTAAATACTATGTATTATTTTTAGGAAGCCTTTTCAAACCATCAAAGAATATGTAATAGAAGGAAGAATAATATACTTAAGAATGAATAATCTTCTTACAAATTGTAATTGAATAGATCATTGGCATTTAGGTTTTATTGAAATTTTTATATCAACATAAAATTTCCAATTATTCATAAATTTTTGATAAATTTTGATAAAAAATAAATAGAAGTATTAGAAGAAATTTTGTTGAAGAGAGATCTAATAATAGAAATTATATACTTCGAACAAAGGCTAATGAGAGTATATAATCTATTTGTATTAGCTCCTTCTTTTATATGGTTATACTAAGGAATTGCATCCAAAATTAAATTATTTTTGCATCTAATTGTAATGCCTCTTTTTAGTTTTTTCTCTTCACATGTATTTATGTTTTTAAATTTAAAATTTTGAAGATATTAAATATTGGAGTTTGATTGGAAAATATTAATATAATTTCTAATATAAATGATTTTATTCAAAAAATTGATCTTCTAATGTTATAAGAGATTACATATGATTTTATAGAAAAAATTGATTGGATAATTGAAGGATTCAA